CTCGGTTACATAGGGCTTTCATTACATTGGCTAAGATACTTGCAAGGGAGCGCATCTAGTGTAGTGGTATCATAGTACCCTCCCACGGTACTGACCGGGGTTCGATTCCCCGGATGCGCATGACCATTTTGTTTACTCGAAAATATTGTTCTCGACAGTGTTTAAGGTTAGCCTCGGATTCCCATTTTAGAAGATTCTTGGTAGCCTTTTCATTTGTAAGTCGAAAAGACCTTAACCCCTCGGTTACATAGGGCTTTCATTACATTGGCTAAGATACTTGCAAGGGAGCGCATCTAGTGTAGTGGTATCATAGTACCCTCCCACGGTACTGACCGGGGTTCGATTCCCCGGATGCGCATGACCATTTTGTTTACTCGAAAATATTGTTCTCGACAGTGTTTAAGGTTAGCCTCGGATTCCCATTTTAGAAGATTCTTGGTAGCCTTTTCATTTGTAAGTCGAAAAGACCTTAACCCCTCGGTTACATAGGGCTTTCATTACATTGGCTAAGATACTTGCAAGGGAGCGCATCTAGTGTAGTGGTATCATAGTACCCTCCCACGGTACTGACCGGGGTTCGATTCCCCGGATGCGCATGACCATTTTGTTTACTCGAAAATATTGTTCTCGACAGTGTTTAAGGTTAGCCTCGGATTCCCATTTTAGAAGATTCTTGGTAGCCTTTTCATTTGTAAGTCGAAAAGACCTTAACCCCTCGGTTACATAGGGCTTTCATTACATGGGCTAAGATACTTGCAAGGGAGCGCATCTAGTGTAGTGGTATCATAGTACCCTCCCACGGTACTAACCGAGGTTCGATTCCCCGGATGCGCATGACGATTTAGTTTACTCAAAAATATTGTTCTCGACAGTGTTTAAGGTTTAGCCTCGGATTCCCATTATAAAAGATTCTAGGTAGCCTTTTCATTTGTAAGTCGAAAATACCTTAACCCCTCGGTTACATAGGGCTTTCATTACATTGGCTAAGATACTTGCAAGGGAGCGCATCTAGTGTAGTGGTATCATAGTACCCTCCCACGGTACTGACCGGGGTTCGATTCCCCGGATGCGCATGACCATTTTGTTTACTCGAAAATATTGTTCTCGACAGTGTTTAAGGTTAGCCTCGGTTTAGAAGATTCTTGGTAGCCTTTTCATTTGTAAGTCGAAAAGACCTTAACCCCTCGGTTACATAGGGCTTTCATTACATTGGCTAAGATACTTGCAAGGGAGCGCATCTAGTGTAGTGGTATCATAGTACCCTCCCACGGTACTGACCGGGGTTCGATTCCCCGGATGCGCATGACCATTTTGTTTACTCGAAAATATTGTTCTCGACAGTGTTTAAGGTTAGCCTCGGATTCCCATTTTAGAAGATTCTTGGTAGCCTTTTCATTTGTAAGTCGAAAAGACCTTAACCCCTCGGTTACATAGGGCTTTCATTACATGGGCTAAGATACTTGCAAGGGAGCGCATCTAGTGTAGTGGTATCATAGTACCCTCCCACGGTACTAACCGAGGTTCGATTCCCCGGATGCGCATGACGATTTAGTTTACTCAAAAATATTGTTCTCGACAGTGTTTAAGGTTTAGCCTCGGATTCCCATTATAAAAGATTCTAGGTAGCCTTTTCATTTGTAAGTCGAAAATACCTTAACCCCTCGGTTACATAGGGCTTTCATTACATTGGCTAAGATACTTGCAAGGGAGCGCATCTAGTGTAGTGGTATCATAGTACCCTCCCACGGTACTGACCGGGGTTCGATTCCCCGGATGCGCATGACCATTTTGTTTACTCGAAAATATTGTTCTCGACAGTGTTTAAGGTTAGCCTCGGTTTAGAAGATTCTTGGTAGCCTTTTCATTTGTAAGTCGAAAAGACCTTAACCCCTCGGTTACATAGGGCTTTCATTACATGGGCTAAGATACTTGCAAGGGAGCGCATCTAGTGTAGTGGTATCATAGTACCCTCCCACGGTACTAACCGAGGTTCGATTCCCCGGATGCGCATGACGATTTAGTTTACTCAAAAATATTGTTCTCGACAGTGTTTAAGGTTTAGCCTCGGATTCCCATTATAAAAGATTCTAGGTAGCCTTTTCATTTGTAAGTCGAAAATACCTTAACCCCTCGGTTACATAGGGCTTTCATTACATTGGCTAAGATACTTGCAAGGGAGCGCATCTAGTGTAGTGGTATCATAGTACCCTCCCACGGTACTGACCGGGGTTCGATTCCCCGGATGCGCATGACCATTTTGTTTACTCGAAAATATTGTTCTCGACAGTGTTTAAGGTTAGCCTCGGATTCCCATTTTAGAAGATTCTTGGTAGCCTTTTCATTTGTAAGTCGAAAAGACCTTAACCCCTCGGTTACATAGGGCTTTCATTACATTGGCTAAGATACTTGCAAGGGAGCGCATCTAGTGTAGTGGTATCATAGTACCCTCCCACGGTACTGACCGGGGTTCGATTCCCCGGATGCGCATGACCATTTTGTTTACTCGAAAATATTGTTCTCGACAGTGTTTAAGGTTAGCCTCGGATTCCCATTTTAGAAGATTCTTGGTAGCCTTTTCATTTGTAAGTCGAAAAGACCTTAACCCCTCGGTTACATAGGGCTTTCATTACATGGGCTAAGATACTTGCAAGGGAGCGCATCTAGTGTAGTGGTATCATAGTACCCTCCCACGGTACTGACCGGGGTTCGATTCCCCGGATGCGCATGACCATTTTGTAATTTACTCGAAAATATTGTTCTCGACAGTGTTTAAGGTTAGCCTCGGATTCCAATTTTAGAAGATTCTTGGTAGCCTTTTCATTTGTAAGTCGAAAAGACCTTAACCCCTCGGTTACATAGGGCTTTCATTACATGGGCTAAGATACTTGCAAGGGAGCGCATCTAGTGTAGTGGTATCATAGTACCCTCCCACGGTACTGACCGGGGTTCGATTCCCCGGATGCGCATGACCATTTTGTTTACTCGAAAATATTGTTCTCGACAGTGTTTAAGGTTAGCCTCGGATTCCCATTTTAGAAGATTCTTGGTAGCCTTTTCATTTGTAAGTCGAAAAGACCTTAACCCCTCGGTTACATAGGGCTTTCATTACATGGGCTAAGATACTTGCTAGGGAGCGCATCTAGTGTAGTGGTATCATAGTACCCTCCCACGGTACTAACCGAGGTTCGATTCCCCGGATGCGCATGACGATTTAGTTTACTCAAAAATATTGTTCTCGACAGTGTTTAAGGTTTAGCCTCGGATTCCCATTATAAAAGATTCTAGGTAGCCTTTTCATTTGTAAGTCGAAAATACCTTAACCCCTCGGTTACATAGGGCTTTCATTACATTGGCTAAGATACTTGCAAGGGAGCGCATCTAGTGTAGTGGTATCATAGTACCCTCCCACGGTACTGACCGGGGTTCGATTCCCCGGATGCGCATGACCATTTTGTTTACTCGAAAATATTGTTCTCGACAGTGTTTAAGGTTAGCCTCGGATTCCCATTTTAGAAGATTCTTGGTAGCCTTTTCATTTTGTAAGTCGAAAGGACCTTAACCCCTCGGTTACATAGGGCTTTCATTACATGGGCTAAGATACATGCAAGGGTGCTTATCTAGTGTAGTGGTATCATAGTACCCTCCCACGGTACTGATCGGGGTTCGATTCCCCAGATGCGCATGACCATTTTGTAAGTTACTCGAAAATATTGTTGTTTAAGGTTAGCCTCGGATTCCAAATTTAGAAGATTCTTGGTAGCCTTTTCATTTGTAAGTCGAAAAGACCTTAACCCCTCGGTTACATAGGGCTTTCAATAAATGGGCTAAGATACTTGCAAGGGAGCGCAACTAGTGTGGTGGTATCATAGTACCCTCCCACGGTTTTGATTGAGGTTCGATTCCCCGTATGCGCATGACCATTTTATTAAATCGAAAATATTGTTCTGGACGGTGTTTAAAGTTAGCCTAGGATTCCCATTTTAAAAGATTCTTTGTAGCCTTTTCATTTGTCAATCGAAAAGACCTTAACCCCTCGGTTTCATGGGGTGTTCATTACATGGGCTAAGAAACTTGAAAGGGACTGTATCTAGTGTAGTGGTATCATAATACCCTACCACGGTATTGACCGGGGTTCGATTCCCCGGATGCGCATGACCAGTTTTTGTTTACTTGAAAATATTTTCTTCGCTAGTGTTTAAAGTTAGCCGGGGTTACATAGGGCTTTCATTACATGGGCTAAGATACTTGAAAGGGAGCGTATCTAGTGTAGTGGTATCATAATACCCTCCCACGGTATTGACCGGGGTTCGATTCCCCGGATGCGCATGACCGGTTTTTGTTTACTTGAAAATATTGTCTTCGCCAGTGTTTAAAGTTAGCCTGTCGAAAAGACCTTTAACCCCTCGGTTACATAGGGCTTTCATTACATGGGCTAAGATACTTGAAAGGGAGCGCATCTAGTGTAGTGGTATATCATAGTAACCCTCCCACAATACTGACCGGGGTTTGATTCCCCGGATGCCCATGACCATTTTGTTTACTCGAAAATATTGTTGTCGACAATGTTTAAAGTTAGCCTAAGATTCCCATGTTAAAAGATTCTTTGTAGCCTTTTCATTTGTAAGTCGAACAATGTTTAAAGTTAGCCTAGGATTCCCATGTTGAAAGATTCTTTGTAGCCTTTTCATTTGTAAGTCGAAAAGACCTTAACCCCTCAGTTACATAGGGCTTTCATTACATGCGATAAGATACTTGCAAGATAGCGCATCTAGTGTAGTGGTATCATAGTACTCTCCCACGGTACTAACCGGGGTCCAATTCCCTGGACGCACATGAACATTTTGTTCACTCGAAAATATTGTTCTCGACAGTCTTTAAGGTTAGCCTCGGATTCCCATTTTAAAAGATTCTTGGTAGCCTTTTCATTTCTAAGTCGAAAAGACCTTAACCCATCGGTTACATAGGGCTTTCATTACATGGGCTAAGATACTTGCAAGGGAGCGCATCTAGTGTAGTGGTATCATAGTACCCTCCCACGGTACTGACCCGGGGTTCGATTCCCCGGATGCGCATGACCATTTTGTAATTTACTCGAAAATATTGTTCTCGACAGTGTTTAAGGTTAGCCTCGGATTCCCATTTTAGAAGATTCTTGGTAGCCTTTTCATTTGTAAGTCGAAAAGACCTTAACCCCTCGGTTACATAGGGCTTTCATTACATGGGCTAAGATACTTGCTAGGGAGCGCATCTAGTGTAGTGGTATCATAGTACCCTCCCACGGTACTAACCGAGGTTCGATTCCCCGGATGCGCATGACGATTTAGTTTACTCAAAAATATTGTTCTCGACAGTGTTTAAGGTTTAGCCTCGGATTCCCATTATAAAAGATTCTAGGTAGCCTTTTCATTTGTAAGTCGAAAATACCTTAACCCCTCGGTTACATAGGGCTTTCATTACATTGGCTAAGATACTTGCAAGGGAGCGCATCTAGTGTAGTGGTATCATAGTACCCTCCCACGGTACTGACCGGGGTTCGATTCCCCGGATGCGCATGACCATTTTGTTTACTCGAAAATATTGTTCTCGACAGTGTTTAAGGTTAGCCTCGGATTCCCATTTTAGAAGATTCTTGGTAGCCTTTTCATTTGTAAGTCGAAAAGACCTTAACCCCTCGGTTACATAGGGCTTTCATTACATGGGCTAAGATACTTGCAAGGGAGCGCATCTAGTGTAGTGGTATCATAGTACCCTCCCACGGTACTAACCGAGGTTCGATTCCCCGGATGCGCATGACGATTTAGTTTACTCAAAAATATTGTTCTCGACAGTGTTTAAGGTTTAGCCTCGGATTCCCATTATAAAAGATTCTAGGTAGCCTTTTCATTTGTAAGTCGAAAATACCTTAACCCCTCGGTTACATAGGGCTTTCATTACATTGGCTAAGATACTTGCAAGGGAGCGCATCTAGTGTAGTGGTATCATAGTACCCTCCCACGGTACTGACCGGGGTTCGATTCCCCGGATGCGCATGACCATTTTGTAATTTACTCGAAAATATTGTTCTCGACAGTGTTTAAGGTTAGCCTCGGATTCCCATTTTAGAAGATTCTTGGTAGCCTTTTCATTTGTAAGTCGAAAAGACCTTAACCCCTCGGTTACATAGGGCTTTCATTACATGGGCTAAGATACTTGCAAGGGAGCGCATCTAGTGTAGTGGTATCATAGTACCCTCCCACGGTACTAACCGAGGTTCGATTCCCCGGATGCGCATGACGATTTAGTTTACTCAAAAATATTGTTCTCGACAGTGTTTAAGGTTTAGCCTCGGATTCCCATTATAAAAGATTCTAGGTAGCCTTTTCATTTGTAAGTCGAAAATACCTTAACCCCTCGGTTACATAGGGCTTTCATTACATTGGCTAAGATACTTGCAAGGGAGCGCATCTAGTGTAGTGGTATCATAGTACCCTCCCACGGTACTGACCGGGGTTCGATTCCCCGGATGCGCATGACCATTTAGTTTACTCGAAAATATTGTTCTCGACAGTGTTTAAGGTTAGCCTCGGATTCCCATTTTAGAAGATTCTTGGTAGCCTTTTCATTTGTAAGTCGAAAAGACCTTAACCCCTCGGTTACATAGGGCTTTCATTACATGGGCTAAGATACTTGCAAGGGAGCGCATCTAGTGTAGTGGTATCATAGTACCCTCCCACGGTACTAACCGAGGTTCGATTCCCCGGATGCGCATGACGATTTAGTTTACTCAAAAATATTGTTCTCGACAGTGTTTAAGGTTTAGCCTCGGATTCCCATTATAAAAGATTCTAGGTAGCCTTTTCATTTGTAAGTCGAAAATACCTTAACCCCTCGGTTACATAGGGCTTTCATTACATTGGCTAAGATACTTGCAAGGGAGCGCATCTAGTGTAGTGGTATCATAGTACCCTCCCACGGTACTGACCGGGGTTCGATTCCCCGGATGCGCATGACCATTTTGTTTACTCGAAAATATTGTTCTTGACAGTGTTTAAGGTTAGCCTCGGATTCCCATTTTAGAAGATTCTTGGTAGCCTTTTCATTTGTAAGTCGAAAAGACCTTAACCCCTCGGTTACATAGGGCTTTCATTACATGGGCTAAGATATTTGCAAGGGAGCGCATCTAGTGTAGTGGTATCATAGTACCCTCCCACGGTACTAACCGAGGTTCGATTCCCCGGATGCGCATGACGATTTAGTTTACTCAAAAATATTGTTCTCGACAGTGTTTAAGGTTTAGCCTCGGATTCCCATTATAAAAGATTCTAGGTAGCCTTTTCATTTGTAAGTCGAAAATACCTTAACCCCTCGGTTACATAGGGCTTTCATTACATTGGCTAAGATACTTGCAAGGGAGCGCATCTAGTGTAGTGGTATCATAGTACCCTCCCACGGTACTGACCGGGGTTCGATTCCCCGGATGCGCATGACCATTTTGTTTACTCGAAAATATTGTTCTCGACAGTGTTTAAGGTTAGCCTCGGATTCCCATTTTAGAAGATTCTTGGTAGCCTTTTCATTTGTAAGTCGAAAAGACCTTAACCCCTCGGTTACATAGGGCTTTCATTACATGGGCTAAGATATTTGCAAGGGAGCGCATCTAGTGTAGTGGTATCATAGTACCCTCCCACGGTACTAACCGAGGTTCGATTCCCCGGATGCGCATGACGATTTAGTTTACTCAAAAATATTGTTCTCGACAGTGTTTAAGGTTTAGCCTCGGATTCCCATTATAAAAGATTCTAGGTAGCCTTTTCATTTGTAAGTCGAAAATACCTTAACCCCTCGGTTACATAGGGCTTTCATTACATTGGCTAAGATACTTGCAAGGGAGCGCATCTAGTGTAGTGGTATCATAGTACCCTCCCACGGTACTGACCGGGGTTCGATTCCCCGGATGCGCATGACCATTTTGTAATTTACTCGAAAATATTGTTCTCGACAGTGTTTAAGGTTAGCCTCGGATTCCCATTTTAGAAGATTCTTGGTAGCCTTTTCATTTGTAAGTCGAAAAGACCTTAACCCCTCGGTTACATAGGGCTTTCATTACATGGGCTAAGATATTTGCAAGGGAGCGCATCTAGTGTAGTGGTATCATAGTACCCTCCCACGGTACTAACCGAGGTTCGATTCCCCGGATGCGCATGACGATTTAGTTTACTCAAAAATATTGTTCTCGACAGTGTTTAAGGTTTAGCCTCGGATTCCCATTATAAAAGATTCTAGGTAGCCTTTTCATTTGTAAGTCGAAAATACCTTAACCCCTCGGTTACATAGGGCTTTCATTACATTGGCTAAGATACTTGCAAGGGAGCGCATCTAGTGTAGTGGTATCATAGTACCCTCCCACGGTACTGACCGGGGTTCGATTCCCAGGATGTGCATGACCATTTTGTTTACTCGAAAATATTGTTCTCGACAGTGTTTAAGGTTAGCCTCGGATTCCCATTTTAGAAGATTCTTGGTAGCCTTTTCATTTGTAAGTCGAAAAGACCTTAACCCCTCGGTTACATAGGGCTTTCAGTACATGGGCTAAGATACTTGCAAGGGTGCTTATCTAGTGTAGTGGTATCATAGTACCCTCCCACGGTACTGACCGGGGTTCGATTCCCCAGATGCGCATGACCATTTTGTAATTTACTCGAAAATATTGTTGTTTAAGGTTAGCCTCGGATTCCCAATTTAGAAGATTCTTGGTAGCCTTTTCATTTGTAATTCGAAAAGACCTTAACCCCTCGGTTACATAGGGCTTTCAATAAATGGGCTAAGATACTTGCAAGGGAGCGCAACTAGTGTGGTGGTATCATAGTACCCTCCCACGGTTTTGATTGAGGTTCGATTCCCCGTATGCGCATGACCATTTTATTAAATCGAAAATATTGTTCTGGACGGTGTTTAAAGTTAGCCTAGGATTCCCATTTTAAAAGATTCTTTGTAGCCTTTTCATTTGTCAATCGAAAAGACCTTAACCCCTCGGTTACATGGGGTGTTCATTACATGGGCTAAGAAACTTGCAAGGGAGCGCATCTAGTGTAGTGGTATCATAATACCCTCCCACGGTATTGACCGGGGTTCGATTCCCCGGATGCGCATGACCAGTTTTTGTTTACTTGAAAATATTTTCTTCGCCAGTCGAAAAGACCTTTAACCCCTCGGTTACATAGGGCTTTCATTACATGGGCTAAGATACTTGAAAGGGAGCGCATCTAGTGTAGTGGTATCATAATACCCTCCCACGGTATTGACCGGGGTTCGATTCNCTTTCATTACATGGGCTAAGATACTTGCATGGGAGTGCATCTAGTGTAGTGGTATCATACTACCCTCCCACGGTACTGACCGGGGTTCGATTCCCCAGATGCGCATGACCATTTTGTTTACTCGAAAATATTGTTGTCGACAATGTTTAAAGTTAGCCTAGGATTCCCATGTTAAAAGATTCTTGGTAGCCTTTTCATTTGTAAGTCGAAAAGACCTTAACCCCTCGGTTACATAGGGCTTTCATTACATGGGCTAAGATACTTGCTAGGGAGCGCATCTAGTGTAGTGGTATCATAGTACCCTCCCACGGTACTGACCCGGGGTTTAATTCCCCGGATGCACATGACCATTTTGTAATTTACTCGAAAATATTGTTCTCGACAGTGTTTAAGGTTAGCCTCGGATTCC